ATATTATATTATTATTATATATTATAATCTTGGGGGCACAGATTATTAGATTAGGAATTCCACTAGTATGTACTCATTTTACTGAGAACTCATAAAACAAACACCTTTAAGATTTATATGTAAGTAAATGGAGCTAATTTTTAAAAATGTATTTAAGTATATTTAATGCAGAATTTTATTCTAGTCAATATTTTGTGTTCCTGTTGTTTATATTATTTTTTAATTTTAATGGAAATAATGATATAGTTCTTCAGAAATCATTTCATTGGATTACAGTACACCCAACCGATGAAGTTTTATGCAGCTGTGAAATAACTTGGATAGACTGCTACAGGAAGATTTCCAAAGCGTATTACTAAGTGGAAGGATAAAAATGAATTGGGCAAAATAACTGCTACAGGAAGATTTCCAAAGCGTATTACTAAGTGGAAGGATAAAAATGAATTGGGCAAAATAACTGCTACAGGAAGATTTCCAAAGTGTATTACTAAGTGGAAGGATGAAAATGAATTGGGCAAAATATTTAGTAATTAACATATTTTAAGCATGACAGGTGAAAAAATATGCATTGATATTAATCTATTATTGTAATTACTCTATTTACTACATTCATCAACCATTTACTGATTACTTATTGGATCAGAATAGAAGATACTGAGCTATTACGAGAAAAGTAGATCCCTTTATCTATTAGTATGCAACCAGAAAAGTGCAAACTTGTTCAAATTTGTTCCAAATATAGGGGATTTGCAGCAGAAGATTGTGAAAGTGTTAGAAAGTTAGAGAGAGAAGCATAAAGTAACACAGGTTTTATTAACATTAGGAAGAAGCTGTTATACCTAGGGGAGGGGAAGGATTACCACTGTAAGAATTTAAGAGCATGGTTGCTGAGAACATGCAGACGGTTCTAAGATCTCCAAAAAGATGTTAAGCAACTGTAGAGAGTATTGGTGATTCAAAGTACCATGACTCATAATCCTCAAAGAGAGGATTGCCTAGAGGAATGGTTGGGGCTAGACTACTAACAGCACTTGGCGGTGAATGTTGAGAGGACTGAAAGGAATCCTTGTGGCTATTTATCTAACCTCTGCTATACTGAATATGGCTAGTTCTTAAGAGTGTTCAAACATGTAGCAGTAACACTTTTCTTCGCTGGAGACATGCTCACAAAATCCAAAAACAAGAAGAGAGTATTTCTACACTAACCCACATTCTAATATCACTTCATGTATCTCTCAGTGTCAGAATTTATCCAGTTGACAGCATAATCTGTGAAACTTTAGTATAAGTATGGTAAATTTCTATAACAGAAAATTTCTACAAAGGAAGTTGAAATATCACTTCTGCAACTAAATAACTACCTGTCCTGGTACCTTTTTTTTCTCTAATTCATTTTACTTATATATAAACTGGGAGGAAAATAGCAATTAAAAATAAAAGGAGGAGAGGGAAAATAATGAAATGATCTGTTTAGACCGTTTATGACGGTTGGGCTAGACAGTTGGCAGTCTAATCTTCAACTAAGATAACAAGACACTAATATAACAGATACAGAAGATAAGAACGGGAGTCAGAAATTCAAAAGGGATTAGTTTGCTGAGCATTTCATAAATTGAAGGAACTGAAGAAACAAATTTAAGGTTTTGATTTTGTGCATCACAACAAGCTATGGTTGACGCTAAGAAGAATGAGAATTCCAGAACATTTAATTGTGCTTATGTGAAACCTATATTTGGACCAACAAGCAGTCATCAAAGCAGAGCAAGGAGACACTACATGGTTCAAAATAAAGAAGGGGGTCCATCAGGGATGTATTTTGCCTCCATACCTTTTCAGTCTGTGCTGGGCTGTATGAGGAGGCATCAGGATTGGTGGAAGAATCATCAACAACCTGTGTTATGCAGATGACACAACCCTGCTTGGAGATAACACAACCCTGCTTGCTGAAACTGAGGAGGACCTGAAGTGCAGAAAGTCAAGGACTGCAGCCTCCTATATGAAGCTCAACATCAGGAAAACAAAAATTCTCACCACTGGGTCAATTGGCAGCATCAGTATGGATGGTGAAGAGATTGAGATGGTTAACAGTTTTAGTTTACTTGGCTCCACAGTCAACACTCTTATTACCAGCCACCAGGAAATCAAAATACGATATGCATTGGGAACGCCAGCTGTGAGGGACCTCTCAAGAGTACTGAAGAGCAATGATGTCAGGCTGGAGACTAAGGTGTGCCTGATCCGGGTTATAGTCTTTGCACTTATGTACTATGCATCAGAGAGATGGACAGTGAATAGGGATGATATAAAGAGAATTGATGCCTTTGAGCTGGGGTGCTGGAGAAGAGTGTTGAATATACCATGGACTGCTAGGAGAAAAAACAGGTTTGTCCTTGAGAATGTGAAGCCGGAATACTCCTTGGAGCCAAGGATTCTGAAGCTTCGTCTGGCATACTTTGGGCATGTTGCAAGGAGGGACTAATCCTTGGAGAGGGACACCATTTTTGGGAGAATGGAGGGATGGTGCAGGAGAGGAAGACCGTCGATGAAATGGATCGATTCTGTGATTGGGGTGGTGTGAATGAGTGTGTTTAAGATGGCGAGGTTGGCATAGGATAGAACAGCATTTAGGGCTCTTGTACATAGAGTCGTTATGAGTGGCAAGCGACTTGAGGGCACATAGCATCAACATGTTGCAATTTAAAAAAAAGATTCTATGGGTGAAATATTGAATTATTTAAGATACATTTAAAAACATGGAAGGAGTACACAGTGTCATTACAACAAAAAGAATTGACTAACACTGAAGAATTTCATGAAACAACATATGACCAACAGACAATGATGATGAAGGATGTTCAAGCAGCTCTGAAGGAAATGGGGGTAAAATATTGAGGACAGTTCCCTGGGATTGATGGAATACCAGATGACATATTACAATATACAGATGCAGCCCTGGACATGCTCATCAGTTTGTGCCAGGAAATCTGGAGGACAACTACATGGCCAACTGCCTGGAAGAGATCCATGTTTATTCCCATTCCAAAAAGAGGTGATCCAACAGAGTGTGGAAATTGTCAAACAATACCACTGATATCACAGGTAAGCAAAATCTTGCTGAAGATTATCCAAAAGCAACTAGAACAACACATTGTCAGAGAAAAACAAGCTAAGAAAAACAAGCTGCATTTAGAAGCCGCCATGGCACTAGGGTTAAAGCCAATGTCAGATGGATCTTGGCTAAAAGCAGAGTACCAGAGAAATGTCTGTCTGTGTTTCATTGATTATGCAAAGGTGTTTGACTGCATGAATCATAGCAAGTTATGGCTAACCTTGAGAGGAATGGGAATCCCAGAACAAGGCAAGAAAACATTGCATGGTGTGAAATGAGGAAAAGAGTGCATCATATCTCCATACCTTTTTAATCTATATGTGGAACAGACATTTCAGGAGGCTGAATTTATGAGGAAGAATGTGGCATCAGAATTGGAGGAAGATTCATCAACAAACTGCATTGTACAGGTGATACAACCCTGCTTGCTGACACTGAGGGGACTTGAAGCATTTGCAGGAAAGGGTCAAGGAATGCAGTCTCCAATTTAGATTGTGGTTCAACATCAAGAAAACAAAGATTCTCACCATTGGGCCAATTGGTAGCATTCTGACTCTGACAGATGGAGAAGAGAGAGATTTTTAACATTTTCCGCTTGCTTGGTCCCACAATCAACACTCTTGGTTTTAGCAATCAAGAAATCAAAAGAGTAACTGTATTGGGAAAATCTGCTGTCAGGGACCTCTCCAGAGTGCTGGAGAGCAAAACTGTCAGTCTAGAGACTATGGCTTGCCTGATCCAGTCTATGGTCATAGCAACTCTAAATTTATATCACCTAAACACATAGCATCTGTATATATATAATGGAATGCTGAAAGTAGAAATAAGCTCATTGAGAAGCTTGACTCTATAAAGAAGAAGAATGGTGCATCAGGATAGGAGGAAGATTCATCAACAACCTGCTTTATGCAAATGACACAACCTTGCTTACTGAAAATGAGGAGACATTGAAATAAAATGCTTGTTGTAGATCAAAGAATATAGACTTCAATATGAATTGCATCTCAACATCAAGAAGACAAAAATCCTCACCACTGGACCAAAAGCAGCTGCATGTGGAGAATATTATCAGGATATTCTTGGAGTCATTCCTAGCTAGGAAGTCCTCAGGTGGTACAATGGAATAAGCAATTACTAGCCAAGAGGTTGATGATTCATGCATATATGGCCTCAGAAAACAGGCCTGGTGATCAGCTTCTGAAATATCAGTCTTGAACTACTCTATGAAGCACTTCTGCTGCGCGCACATAGGATTGTCAGGAGTCAGTGACAACTAGCAGAAAAAGGAAAAAAAAACCTTAACTGAACAGGAGCCCCAACCCTGCCTTATTTCTATTTTCTTTTGTTTTGTTTTTTACTTTTCACAGTACTTTGAGTTAAGTTTATGGGGTGAATTGGTCTCCTATTCAACAGTTCACACACTTCCTTTTTTGTGGCATGGATTACAACCTCCACATTGTAATATTCCTCCATTCCTCATTTCCTGCCTCTTCCTACCTTCTGAGATCGAATGATCTTGGACAAATGCTGCCCCATTTGGAATTGTATGTTTGCTGGTTCTAAGAAGTGAATTCCTACCTGGTGTTATTGACCATCTCGTATGCCTATTTGAAAGTTGAGTCTTATTGAGTCTGAAAGTCTATTCTTATTTGGCTGAATGTTGACTCTTCAAGACATGAGGGTGATTTCAGTGCCAAACTTGAAGGATGACCAAAAGTCATAATCTGAGGGATACTTTTATTATCTTAAATAATTGGTCCTCTGGCTGCCTTGGTTTCCTCATCTATCAAACTGGGATAATTTCTGTCTCACAGCATTATTCTTCAGATGAAGTGAGAAAACATTTAGAAATGTCTAGCATATAATAGATAGTTAACAGATACTGTTTCCTTCTCACAAAAGCTCATTCTGTAGGCCCCATGAGGCCAGAAGCTTTTATTTAAATCAGCTTTCCTCTACTCTGGCTTCATTTTAAAATTTCCAAGGGAATTGTTTGAAAGCAGTGCCTAGGTTTCTCCCCCTGGAGATTCTGATTTAATTGGTCTGCTGTGAGGTCTAAGCAGTGATGATTTTTTAAAGCTCCCCAGGTGGGTCTCACATACTAGCAGCACCAAAGACCACTGATTTTGAGTCATTAACTGGGGGACAGAGGAGGGCTGGCTGTGGAATCATCAGAGTCCACTGGAAGCCCTGTAAAGCCTGGCCCTTCCAACACCTGGAAAACTCCAGAAGCCAGTTTGGCTTATTTCCTCCAGCACAAATCTTCAATTGGCAGGCTAGACAGATGGTTATTATTTATCCCTCCTGCTGTGTTGGAAAAGGAAAAAAATAGCTCTGCCTCAGTTGGGGTTTTCAAACAACTTTTGGCATGTGCAAACAATTACCTTTTTCTATATTTATAGGTACTGGGAAAGAGAAAGGGGAGTTTAAAAGAGACCAGGTGAATTAACATTTATTCCCTTCTAATGAAACTTTTTGAAGTTCTAATAGTCAAAAAGGATTTGGCTGGGGCAAGATCTAAGTTCTAGATCTTATTCCAAAAGGGTTCATGAATGTTGACAATGCCCAGCAAAATATCTGGTAAATAATGTCAGATCCTCTCTTCAGTGGAAGCTAGAGTTGTGTATTAACATATAATACAAAAACAAATAATAATGATAATTTGTGTGGAGATCTCCTCTGGGTATTATGTATTTTATGAAGGTAAGAGATCATTGGCAGTAAGGACATCATTGTCAAAGTCAGATGGTTCTTGGCTGAAAGCAGAGAGTACCAGAGGAATATGTCTATCTGTGTTTTATTGACTCTGTAAAGGCATTTTATCACATGGATCCAAGAAATATGGCAAACTGTGAGAAGAATGGGAATTGCAGAACACCTGATTTTGCTCATGCAAAACCTATACTTGGACCAGGGGGCAGTCATCATAACAGAGCAAGGAAACACTGCATGGTTCAAAATCATAAAAGGAGAGTGTCAGGGATGCATTCTTTCTCCATACCTTTTCAATATGTATGCAGAACAGATCATTCAGGACTTTATAAGGAAGAATGTGGTATCAGAATTAGAGAAAGACTCATCAACAACCTGTGTTATGCAGATGACACGACCTTGATTCCTGAAACTGAGTAGGACCTGAAGCATTAGTTGCAGATTGTCAGGGACTGTAGTTTGCAATATGAAGCTCAACATCAAGTGGCAGCTTATAGTACATGGAGAAGGTATTGAGATTGTTAATAATTTCATCTTGCTTGTTTCCACAATCAGCACATTTGGTACTAGCAGTCAGGAAATCAAAAGACAGATTGCACTAGAAAAACCAGCTGTCAGGAACCTCTCCAGAGTGCTGAAGAACAAAGATAACAGTCTAGAGACTACGGTGCACCTGATCCAGGCCATGATTTTTATAATTATTTATTTGCTGTGTATCAGAGAGCTAGAACATTACCAAATATGGTAGAGTAATTGATGCCTTTGAATTGTGGTATTTGAGAAGAATATTGAACATACTATGGATTGCCAAGAAAGCTAACAAGTCTGTCCTATAGAGGGTGAAACCAAGCTGCTTCTTGGAGGCAAGGATTTTGAGATTCTATCTCACATAGTTTGAGCATGCAGCCAGGAGGTACCAGTCTTTGGAGAAGGAAATATGCTTGAATGGGTCAAAGAGACAGCGCAGGAGAGGAAGACAACACAATAAATGGGGTAATGAGGACAGGTATATCAGAGACAGTGACATTGGCTCAGGATAGAGCAGGGTTCAGAGTCTTATGCATAGGTTTGCTATCAGTCAGAGTCAACTCGACAGCTCATAACAAAAACAGTTTTATTTTAGCCCTACAGCACTACTATAAATGAAAAACTTAAGACCTGAAAGTATGCAGTTGGTAAAAGGAATAGTCAACATAAGCATTCAGGTTGTATGATACCAAAGTTTGTCATGCACTGCCTTCACAAGCCCTTAATCTCTCTAATTCTATGGATTTTAGTAATTCTAGCCTTTTTGGTCACTTGCAATAAAGAGAAAATTTTTTAACATGTTATTGTTAGGTGCTGTCCATGGAGCTCCAATTCATATGGACCTTGCATGCAGTACAAAGAAACGCTGCCTGACCCTCACAGTCTCCTCTGTGCTTCACCCACTGTTAGAGTCGCTGTGTCACTCCGTCTCACTGACAGTCCTCACTTTCACGGACCTTCTACTATACCAAGCACATATATGTTTCTAGGAAGTGGCCCCTCATGATAACACGCCCAAAGTATGTGAGATGAAGTCTTATTGTCCTTGACATTAAGGAACACTTTACCCTTCTTCCAAGACAGATTTATTTGTACCTTTGATAGTTCATGGTATAATCAACAAGATTCTCCACCAGCACATTTCAAAGGAAGGCAGCAATTATTCTTTTTTGGTTGTAATTATTCGTTGTCTAATATTCACATGTATGTGAAACAATTTAAAATATGATGGCTTGTGGAAGGCATGTCTTGGTCTTTAAAGTGGCATCCCTGCTCTTCAGCACATTGGAGGGATCCTTAACTGCATACTTGCCCAATGCATCAAAGACTGCAGTCTTCAATATGGACTGAAGTTCAACATCAAGAAGACAAAGAGTCTCACCACTGAACCAATTGGCAGCACCATGGTAGATGGAGAAGAGATTGGGGTCATAAAGAATTATAGCTTGCAAGTACCTGAATGGCAAACCAGAAAGCCTAAAAAAAGAAGAAAAGGGAGGAGGGCTGGGGAGAATTACAGCTTGCTCGATCCACAGTCAACACTCTTGGCACCAGCAGTCAGGAAATCAAAAGATGAATTGCACTGGGAAAATCTGCTGTCAGGGACCTCTCCAAAGTGCTGAAAAGCAGTGATGTCAGTCTAAAGGCTAAGGTGCACCTAGTCCAGGCCATGGTCTTCACAATTACTTGCTGAGCATCATCAGAGAGCTGAACAGTGACTAAGGATGACAAAATAAGAACTGATGTCTTCGAGTTGTGGTGCCAGAGAAGAGTCTTGAACATAACACAAACTGACAAGAAAACAAATCAGTCTGTCTTGGAGAGGGTGAAACCAAGTTTCTCCTGGAAGGTTAGGATTTTGAAGCTCTGTGTCACATACTTTAGGCATGTGGCCAGGAGAAACCAGTACTTGGAGAAGAACATTATGCTTGGAAGGATAGAGGGGCAGTGCAGGAAAGGAAGACCCTGGATGAGTCGGATTAATACAGTAACTGGGGCAATCGGGGTTGGTGTGTTGGAATTCATGAGACTGGCTCAGGACAGGGAAAGGTTCAGAGCTGCTGTACATAGTCTCTATGAGTTGTAGGTGACTTTACAGCAAATAACAGCAACATGTTATTTCTTGACTATTGTACAAAATGACTGAGTCAGTCTCAACATCTTCTCTTTTCAAAAGCATATGTTATTTAAGGTAGCTCATGTAGTAATTTTGAGTAATTATTTAATATCAAGCTCCCCTACTTGGCTTTCTTAGGGCAGCAAACATGTCTCTCTTCCTCACAGCTTATCCTCATCACCTCTTGAAGTGCCAATCGCCTAACAGTTTCAATATTGTCTTTGCCTGGGGAGATGGGACTGAACTATTTCAATTTTGTTTTTAATTTTTTTTTTGCTTGCTTGCTTAGGAAACAGTGGAAAGGATGCTGCTGGCACCACAGTGAAGCCTGAAGCCCCTGAGATGTCCCCAAGCAAAAATGAGCATATGGTATGCACCTGGATCTAGAGGATTCTGGAAAGGTCTTCACAGACCTAGCGAGTTCGGTGATGTCTTCCCCTCTAGTTTTTGTTCCTATAAACCTCTCTATGTCAGACCAATTTTGACTTCAAGACTCTAAGCAGAGGGCTGAGGCAAAGGATGTTGCCAATTGTGTGCTGGTTCCTGCAGCAGCTAGTCCACCACTCCTTAATTGAAAGTTTACCATAGGCCTCAAGAACCTGAACAGGTCACATCTGTGTAAGTGTCCTTCCAAATCCTGTGACCAATCTGCCAACTGCCATCAGAATGAAGGTTGGTATGAGACCTACTTGACATCTAAAACTCAGCTTCCAGAAACTAAGGGTGACTTTTCCCCTCGACATCACACTTAAATATAATGCTCTCTTTAATTAAGACAAAAAATCTGGCAAGCCTTTGAAATCCGATTTAATATCCCCAGCACTTAGCCAGGAGAAGATGCAGACAGAATTGAAAAACAGCCCGAGATTTTCTGTTCTTGATTTTTTTAAATGCCTGGATTAGAACATAATTCATTTTAAAGTGATGGGAGGCCCCTCTTCATACACTTCACACTTGGAAATATTTTAGAAAATAGTATCCATTTTCACAGGCCTCTTGCCAGGCAAGAAACAACAGCAAATGCTTCTCTCCTTGAGTGTTAAGTCTGTTGTGAATAAGATTATATGTTTAAAAAAAAATCCTTTGCTCTTTTGTTTTGCCTCTTGCTTTAGGGTTTTACTGTATCACTGTAATAATTAATTCTTCTCACATTCACTGTCCCACTCTTATATAAAGGAGAAGGAAATTGAAGCACATAGTAAAGCAAGTGTCTTATAATCCAGTAGGAAATTACTTATTCATTCATTAAGAATGTCTTAAGAAACTACTATGTGTTAGCCCCTAACCACATTGGGAGATACATAAACTTAGCCCTCCAGACCTCTGATGAGAAACATATCATCAGAGACTTACAATATCAAGGGGTAAGTATTTTAATTTATTGTTGTTGTTGTTGTTGTTGTTATGTACCATCAAGTCAGAACCCACCCATACCTGATCCTCTGGCAGGTTTTTAAAGGCAGGTAATCGCACAGGAAGAGATTGCCCATCCTTCTCCTGTGGAGCAAGCTAGCTGGTGAATTCGAACTGTGTGCCTTTGGGATTACAGCATAACTTCTTACCACTAGGCCACCAGAGCAAGTTCCTACAAAATCACTTTCCTATCTACAGAAATGTAATGTAAAACTCTTTAAAGTTATTTTCTCAGGATCGAAGGTATCTTTGAGTTTACTAAAATGATACACTCAAATTTATTTAAATTAACATTGCCTAGAAAGACTATCATAAACTTTCATCAGACTTTCAAGGTGATTTAAAGTTCTAAAAAGTATAAAATCACTATTCGAATTTACTTTATGATGACTTTCTATTTTTCCCCACAGTGATGTCACCAAAGTAGAATTATATCAGTCCCTTGAAACTCACTGGACTGGTTCTGGGTAATCCATGAGGGTACAACTTCGCTTAGCATTTTATTTTTTCAAACAAAAGGAATTTCTTCTTCATATTTCTCAGTAGTAATTTAATATGTATGTTAACACACTCAAGATCTGTCTTCTTATTGCAATTACTATCCTAGAGCTATGGGCTTTCATGACGAGTTTAAGACAAATATACAAAGTTGGAGAAATGTAGACAGTCAAGGATAGAGGAATATGAATGCTGTTGCTGTTACTGTTACTGTTGTTGTTGTTGTTATGTATGGTCAGGTAGGAACTGACTCATAGCTGACTTTCCAGTAGGTGTTCAGTGGTTTTAAATCAAACAAACTGTCCATATATCTCCCAAATAGCATCTAGTGGATTTTAACTTCCTGCCTTTGAATCAAATCACAACTCCTAACCCATGAGTCAGCCAGAACTCCCTGGAGGAGCATAGATATATACAAAAAAAGAAAAGTTAAAGGCATGATTTTATTATTATCTGGATCACAATTTATCTTCATTAACAGGACCAAGTCTTCTAGCTTAATTCGCTGGACGCTGCCTGAGGTTGACTTGATTCATAGCAACCCAATGTGTTTCTGAAAAGAATTGCACTCCCTAGGATGCTCAAACGTGTGTTTTTCTGAAATAGATCACCAGACCTTTTTTCTGAAGTATCTGTCAGTGAGTTAGACTCACTAACCCAACTTCTGGTTAGTAACTGAATAGTCAACTTTTATATCACCTACAGATGAGCATTATGGTACACAAGGGTGCCGATACAAGAATAAAGAGTGGAGACACCAACATCATCATAATGTCCTATAGCTTGTCTTGCTGACCCAAAAGCTGTTGCTACTGTAGCAATTCCACAGGTGATATGAGAAATCTCCTTTTATGCAATTTTCAGCCTTGGAAATGCATTGGGGAGTCAGCTATAAGTTGATTCTGACTCCGTATTAAAGAGTTTTTACAATGTTGAGCTGGATTAAAATGCCTACTTGTGTTTTCTATTTAGTTTTTACCTGTGGACCTCAACTGCCTTCTGCAAAATGACTATATCAGACAGAACTAAAGATGTTTTATCATGCTTTCTACCAACTTTATAATAATATTACTATTGTTTAAACACTCTTTGGAAAGACTTTCACAATCATGACCCATAGGTTTCCCCAAGAAATTAGGAGCATTGTCTGTAACTCATCCCCTGTGAATTCTAGTGGTAAAAAACAGAGTTACAACATCACAAAATGCATCCATCTGTTAGAAAGCTCCTTGCCTTATGCAAGCCAGAAATGAAAACTAAACAAATGTCATGACTTCAACCTTTCCTCTTAAAATAAAATAAAAATAAACTCAATGTCATAGTTTATATCTAACAACACTTGGCAGATAGTTGTTATTGCTCAGAGGGTTATTTTAAGTGTTCTGCTAGCCTTGTACAGCCAGACCTTGCAATAAATCTTCCTAGCTGTGTGGCCCCATCTCATGGCCAGAAGATGGGGGAAGCTCTGAGTGGTGAATGCATTGCCAGTAAGATGTTTGTGTTGTTTTGGTAGAACACTCCAGAAGAGGAGCTGCAGCCAGAAAGCCTTCCTGCAGAGACTTTGGTCCTGAAAGGTCCTCTGAGCTCCATGAAGATCAGGCCAGTGTCACAGCCTTTTGTGGATCCTATCATAAAGAATGAACCTGAAGAATGTGAGATGTGGATAGACAGGTTCAGGAAGCTAGAAAATGCCCTCTATTTGTGTGATCTCAGTAACACAGGTGATATATCAACTTTAAAGTAGATATACCATTCTGTTTGTGTTCCAGTCTAAAAATGAATATCTCATTTTCTTTCACACTTGAATAAATGCAACTGGTATGTCAGTCATGTGCACGGTACATGATACAGCACTGAACCAAACAGGAAGCCAAGCCCCCCACCTGGCTAGTTATAGATCCTTTGCATTTTTGAGCCTTCCTCCATGTCTTCTTCTTTCTCCCCCTCCACAATTCAGTCTTCTAACTGAAGACCAATTAAAATACTTCAGAAACCCTTACTGGAAGCAGGATGAGCTACAAACTCTTCAGTGAACTGAAATTTGGTTCCTGTCCTGACCAGTCTTTCCTTTTACCATTACTATTCTTGCAATGTAGATTCTTACTATTTTACATTATTATGAATAACTTAGAAGTTATTCATTCTCACCCAGTCAGAATGAAGAACTTGTCTTTATGCAAATGTGTCTTGCTTTCTCATGTGCCTTTTCTCACCATGAGCTCTCCATCTAATCAATTTATTTCTCCTCTACCTAACCCACCCTCATCATTTCTCCAAGTTTTGTCCACCTGGCCAATTAATGCTTAAGTGTCTTTTTAAGTATGAACTCAAGCACTGCTCCTCTGAGACTCCCCTGATTACCCAGAGGGATCTATGCCAACCTTCATCTGGCCTCTTGTGGTTCTTTAAGTTCCATTATCATATTTGATATATTTGAATTTCTTCAATTTAGAATTTTATTATCATCTCATGAATAGATTGTATTTTTTAAATGCAAAATGCCATGAACAATCTTTAAACATTTTTGAGGGGATGAATAAATTAAAGGGCTGTAGGAAAATAACAAGTTCAAGATGGAAGATGAGAATACCAAGAAAGTGTGTGTGCTACGTGGACATTCAGAGGGGAAAAAAAGAATTCCTTCATGGGAGAATGATCCATATTAATGTTAAACTAGTTATTAAATATAAAATTCAGTTTATCCACAAAGGAATGAAACTCTTTTGTTGGAGGTTCAAGTAAAGTGCTTTGTGTGAAACTCAATACAATGACTTTTGTATGGAGATCTGGTGACCTAGTGATTAGAAGCTGTTTTTAAATCCCAAAGGCACATGGTTCAAATCTACCAGCTGCTCTGTGGGGAAAGGATGGCCAATCTCCTCCCAGACAATTTACTGTCTATGAAAACCCACCAGAGGGTCAGCTATGAGTCAGTTCTGACTCGGTGGCACACAACAATGAAGCAACAAGAATATTAAAGGAAAAAGTGGAACTATAGTATGAGACCAAAATTCATTGCACTTAGTAGATTTCAACTAATAACGACTTCGTAGAACATAGTGGTACTACTCCATAGGGTTTCTGAGGCTGTGAATCTTTGTAGCAACAGACTGCCCCGTCTTTCTTCTGAATTGCAGTTGATGAGTTTAACCTTGAGGTTTGAAATTCACCTTGAGATTAGCAGTCACGTGTTTTAACCACTGTATCATTAGAGCTCTAAGTCTTGAAAAATCATAAATGAAGGACAAGATAATTTATACTTTTTTGTAAACAGAATAGCATAATAAAATTACATTTCAGAAAAATCATTGTGAATAAAGGAGAAATTAGAGTCAATGAAAGAGAAGGTTGACTGTTGAAATCTTTATATGAGAAAGTACTGAGTCTAGAACTAGTAAAAACTTGAGAATGGAGAATAGAGGGAAGATGCAAAAGTACATAGACTAAGGGTGTGGCATGTATTCAGATACTGTGGCTCATGAATAGTGTACCCATTCTCTATTCTAGTACCCTTCAGAATACGTAAACATATATGAATAGTATTATCTGTCTTTTTATCTGTGTGTGTTTCTTTTTGTTTTATTTTCAAATGCTTTAGAATGAAAAACAAAACAAAGCAGCTACTCCATTCTAGACAACAGAATGTATTAACTACTACATAAGATCAAAGAATTTCAGCGATTATACAAAGTATAGGAGAAAAGAGGTCCTAAAATACTCAATGAAAAATATATCTAGCTAAATTAGAAAGGTAGTTAATATATGTTACAAGCCCAGCTCCATGTTGGAGGCTGAATCAAGATGGAAATCCGAAAGGATAGTTACTTTTAGATAACACATAGAAACTGGTAATAATTCAGTGCAATGTTTTTAAAAAGATAGTATATGTAAATTTTTATAACTGAATACAATTAAGTGTTAGAGTACAGAGAAGACTTACCATCTTTTGTGGGCAGAGTTATTCAAAGAGAGTTTCATAGAAGAGAGCTAAAACTTGAGCTGACCCTTACAGAAAGGTAGACTTTGGGAAGTTGTGCCGAGCTTTCTGGATGCAAAACTATCTTCTGCAAATATTACAAGGTGAAAATGAGTATGAAGGAGACAAGAATGAACATATACTAAATGCTTAGGTTGTTTTACACGGTAAGGGTGAGACTTTATTGTGAAATCTCAGGGTAATGGAGGACTTTACTTACTACCAAGTATCTATTGAAGATTCAGCCAAAGGAGAACTTAATGAAAGTTGAGATGGCTCATTTACACGACTGGACTGAAAAAAGGAGATCTTCAGGTATTCACCTAAATTTTATTTAAATATTTTAGGTCCAGACTATGAGATAGGAGAATGCTTATAAGGTTGCACAGAGCTACAGAGAAGGAAGAGAAAGAGGGATAAGAGATATCTGGAGAAATGATGAGTTGTGATGATGGATGAAGAATCATGTACTTTGTAACTAAGAGATTCCCTAAAGTCTTGGACTTTCTCATACTTGTCAACAGTTTTAAGGAAGAATGGAGTTTTGTTGACTTTGGATACAGATTCCATTAGGCTTGGAATGCCTTTCCCATGATCTCTTCACTATTTATGCCTGTTTTCTCTGTTTCTATGAAATTCATTCGTTCCTTAACAGCCAAGGAATGTGTCAGCCAGATCTGGGAACATCTATAACTGTCTTTAATGAGGGAAAAGGATTAACTGAGGTCATTTTGCTGGTTTATTAACCACAGTATTTAGCAAACCACCATAGCTCTATTCTAGGGCTAAGCAGATGATATCTGCTTTGCCCACTGATGAATCACTGCTCTTTTATTATGTGTGAGGAAATATGTAGGCCAGGATGTTCTTCATCCAGGCTGAAGGCAGATCATCCATCATCAAATCAGCATTTCTGGGAACCTGTTCTGTACATATTCTTTAATGGGGTTGTCAAGTAAATATCATTGAGGAGAGGAAAAAGGAGTGGCAATGAATAAGTGGTCATGTTTTCTAAAGAAGGAAGGATGTTTCAGCTAAATATTTGGGTGAATGGTTGATTGGGAATTTTCCCTGTGAATGAAAAACTAGGTAGAAATGTTTTCAAGTTAAAGGAGACTCTAGTCAATTGCTGAGTCCTAAGGGCATATTTTCTGAACTTGTCTTTCTCATCTACAAAGTAGGATAATAATAAAACATATCTTCCAGATTTGAGAAAAGGAGTGAGATAAGAGATTTGTAGTTTTTGTAAACTGTGAATTAACAGGATAGTAAGAAGTTCTTATCATTGCTTTCATTTTAGTTATGAGGGTTAAGGAACAGGTTTTCTGACACTGCAGAGGGTTGTAAGGATTATTTTATGGATCTGTTCTGGGCTTTCCCTAATGACAGAGTAAATTAGATAGATATCTAAATTTCAATCAATGGTTTTATGTTTGATTTTAGGAAGATTCTTTCAATGACAAAGCTTAGAAGATACTAGAAAATGCCACCATGGAGATTCTTAGATGTATTTTGTAGCATCACTTTCTATTTTAAATTAATATATATCATGAGTTTTAATAACTCATTATTAAAATACAGGTTTTATATCTTTAAAATGTTATTTATATAATTATAAACATTCTGCTGCAATACCTAACATTAATGAGTGCTTACTTATAGATGCACTTTGAGCTAAGCACCTAAAATTTATTAATTTTTACACAATTTAATTATCTTTAATTTTCATTTATCCTGCCAGCTGCACTTGCAAGACAAAGATAAGGTAGTTTGTGTCTATAAGAAAGTACAGCCTTTAGAAACTCAATAGATAGTTCTTCTCTGTCCTAAAGAGTCACTATGAATCAGAATTGGGTTAGGTTTGGTATTGTTTTGCAGTTGAGAGCACTAAGTCTCAAATAGGTAAAGAAACATTCGCAAGGTCTTACAGTTAGAAACTTATTCCAGAGCCTATGATTTCTATTTCCAAGGGCAGAATATGGAGAAGTTGATTATAAATATCACACCTAGGCAAGAGATTGAGAGCAGCCATCCAATTGAAAAAGCTTCAAAGATGCACTTAACAGCTTGAAAGAAAGAGACTGTAAAAGATTTATATGGGGGAAAGGTTAATATGTTAGCAGGTGAGATAGACAAACCAGCCAGGATAGGATAGGGTAGGGGAGAGTAGGACAAGATAGGCTGGGCTAGGGTATAGTAGGTGGCACAATGGTTAAGTATTAAGCTGCCAGCTTAAAGTTTGTTTATTGTAACCTTCTGTCATTCCACTGGAAAAAGATGTGGTCGTCTATGCCTACAAATATTGAAAACCTTCTAAAACCTGTGGAATAACTCTACAGAGTTTCTTTGAGTTAGAATTGACATAATGGCAATGGGTATAGAATATGAGAGAATGAACATCGAAGCTTCACCAACTTGCTGTTTAAAACAGCTGCTAAAGCCCACCCAGTCGTTAAAAGCCAATTCATCTTCATGTTAAGTGTGACTTCTCTGACTCCTCCTGCCCCTCTCCAGCCTGGGAAAGTGAACCTTGTCCTAGACCCCCAATAAAAGGTTCTTTGCTTTAAAAAAAAATAAAATAGCTGTTAAAGATTAGTTATTGAGGAGTATCATTCTCAAGTCTTTGCCTATTTAAACACAAGTAGTGTTTAAATGATGACTTAAGTCAAGATGGTAAGAATTTAGTTGAATGTCATTTCAAATGAAGTAGTAGTGGCTTTCTACAAAAAAGCCAAAGAACCACTTCTGATTCTTTCGAGAAAAAAAATATTTCAGTCACAATTATAGTTTGTGTAGGCAAAGGAGAGTAAACTAACAACATGCCTGTGATCTACCTTTCATTCTTCACAAAAGATACCTAAAATTACTTTAATTAAACTTGGCCTTTTTCACTACTATCAATTCTTGATTAATATTGTACTTCCCTCCGAGTCCCCCTTGTTGTATACCATCAATTTGGATATGACTGGCACAGGAGGAGATTGCCCCTCCTTCTCCAGAAGAGCCTCTGGTGGATTTAAACCACACGCCTTCAGGATTGCAGCACAGCTTCTTGCCACTAGGCCACCAGAGCTCTCTCATATGCTACCTTTTGTGGCAAATCCACTGTCAACAATTGATTCTAATTCATAATGGTCCTCCATCGGTTTTCCAGGACTGTAAATCATAATAGGAAGAAACTGTTCCTCTTTCTTCTGTATAGCGGCTGGTGGGTTCAAACCATCTACCTACTGGTCGACAACTCAACATATTACACACTATACCGTAAGAATTCCTTTACCATAATATGCTGTTGTTATTGTTAGGTACCATTGAGTCAACTATGTCTCATATTGGCTGTATGAAGAAGAGTTCAACACCTTGCATTATCTGTGCTTTTCTCACAATCTCCAGTATGTTCAAGCCCATTGTTGAAGTCATTGTGTCAATCCATCTCATTAAGGGTCTTACTATCGTTTCCTGCTTTTTCCAAGGATGGTCCCTTCATGACAAATGTCCAAGTATACAAGACAGTATTACACCATCTTGCATTTAAGAAGCAATCTGGTTGCACTTCTTCAAGATAGATTTGTTTAATCTTTGGGGATATCCAGTACTCATCGCCAACACCACAATTCCAAGGCTTTGGTGCTGTCATTAATATTTTGTTCAACTTTTAAATGCATAGCAAACAACTGAAAATACCATGGCTTGAATCAGATGTACCTTAATCTTTAAACTGATATTCTTGCTCTATAGTATTTTGGAGAAGTTCTTTACAGCAAATTTTCACAATATTACATATCTTGTAATGTCTCCACAGCTGCTACCATGAGCATAGCTTTCATAATTCAAGGAAAATAAGTGGGGCAAAAGTATGACCACTATTTCTAGCAACGTTTTCTCTTAGTGGTTAAATGCAAGGACTTAAACAACTTTAAACATATCATTTCTCATCTCTTGTTTCAGGTTCTTCCTCTATAATATGAGTTGCTATGGAATTCAATGAGCTTGTATTGGAAAATGTGTGGAATGGTGCCTGGAACATAGTTGTTGTTGATATGTGCTATTAAGTTGCTTGAGACTCATAGTGACCCTATGTACAACAACCTTAAGTCCTCCTCTATCCTGTGCCAACCATATTGTCTCTGTCACACCTACCCTTGTTACCCTAGTCACTGAATCAATCCATCTACTTGAGAGTCTTCATTTCTTGTGCTGTCTCTCCACCCTCCAAAACATGAGGTCCCTCTCCAAGGAATGGTCCATCCTTGCAACATGCCCAAAGTTTGTAAGATGAAGCTTCAGAATCATTGCCTCCAAGGAGCAGCCTGGCTTCACCCTCTCCAGGATGAACCTGTTTGTTCTACTAGTGGTCCATGGTCTATTCAGTGCTCTTCTCCAGCAGCACAGCTCAAAGGCATCAATTCTCTTCATATCATCTTTAGTCATTTTCCAGCTTTCTGATGCATAGCAAGCAATTGTGTACATGATGGCCTGTATCAGGTGCACCTTAGTCTCCAGACTGACATTGTTGCTCTTTAGTACTCTGATGAGGTCCCTTGACAGTACACTTTCCCATTGCAATTTGTCTTTTGATTTCTTGACTGCTATTACCAAAGTGTTGATTTGGAGCCAAGCAAACTAAAACTGTTAACAACCTCACTCTTTTCACCATCTATCATACTTCTGCTAATCAGCTTAGTGGTGAGAATCTGTTTTCTTGACATTGAGCTTCAATCCACATTGAAGACTGCAGTCCTTGACCTTCTGCAGCAAGTGCTTCAGATCCTCCTCAGTTTCAGCAAGCATGGTTGTGTCATCTGCATAAAGCAGGTTGTTGACGAGTTTTCCTCCAATTTGATGCCATATTCCTCCTCATAGAACCCAGCCTCCTGGGTGATCTGTTCTGCATACAAATTGAAAAGGTATGGAGATAGGACATCCCTGAGGTACATCCTTCCCGATTTTGAACCATGCAGTGTTTCCTTGCTCTGTTCTGACGACTGCCTCCTGGTCCAAAAATAGGTTTTGCATAAGCACAATCAAATGTTCTGGATTTCCCATTCTTCTCTGAGTTAGACATAGTTTGTTGCAATCCACATGGTCAAATGCCTTGTTCAGCAGAGAACTTCCAGATGTACAGGCTGGGTTTAGAAGAGGCCATGGTACAAGGGATGCTATAGCTGTTAGATGGATCTTGGCTGAAATCAAAGAGTACCAGAAAAATGTCTATCTGTGTTTCATTGTCTATACAAAGACATTTGACTGTGTGGATCACAATAAACTTTGGGACATAGTAAGTCTTCTATAAATATCAGTTATCCTATGGAGTTTTGGTTGATTAATAGGTAGGAATTTTGCTGCCACCCAAAGACATACAGATCAAACTCAATATCTACTCCATGAGAAAAAGATGAACAATCTCCTTTAGGGTGAATTACTATCTCTGAAAACCCGCTAGTGTGATATCTATGAATTGGTTCTGACTCAGTGATACATAACAACAACATCAGTCATTATTGTCACTACTGTTGCTCTGTAGTTAATGCTCTCCATCTCTAATCTTCCCAACTGGTTAAGAAGCTTCCTGTGGTGACAGATTTTCTAATTCTTAAGTATAGTATGTGATATAAGTCCAAAATTTGGAACTTATGAACGAGTTATTTTGATCTTCACTGATGCTTCATTCTGCACTTAAACATCTGTCACTTAATATCCAAACCTATCTAACTTTGTCTTTGATGTGAGAAAAAAGCAATGTTTCCAAGTAGACTAGCATTTGTATTAACATAAATATTTGGTAGGCACTAAAGGACACTTTTGGTGATAAGGAGTACAGTATCTATAACAGATATTCAGACTCTGCGACACAAGAAGTAAGTGATTTACCTGTGATCATACAGCACACTAGAGAGTGTCATAGGGAATACTTTGCAGGAAATGCATTAACTGTTGAAATATTGCATGATTTTGTAACATGTTTGCCTTCTTTAAAAAGATTAAAAAATATAGAACAATTGAAATTTCTTAGCAATTACCTACCTGTTTAAATAACTAACCTCAATTTTATGGCTACAAAGAACAAGCTCAAGTCACTTTAGAATTTGTCTATGGATTTTATTGGGTCTCATCTCCTCTCTCCCTTAAAACCACCCCCATGTTTCCCCTGAAAGATATAATGCATGTTCGACACTGTAAATAATGATCTTTAAGATAACATGTTTCTTAAGAAAGTTAAATTTTCAAATTATTGCTATTTTGTTGTTTACTTGGAAACCATTGAAGCTCATAGGTTTTTCTCTTTTTTATTTTCTCCTTCCTCGTTATAAACCTTCCACCCACCAATATCACATGCAGGAGTGCTGGAGAAGGAACGAGCCAAACGCCTCATTCACAACTACAATCTCATTTACAACCTGTCCCTGAGCCCTCGGAAAATTGACCAGGCCTTGCGGAGATTTCGTTCGGGAGAAAATATGCTCTTGGAGCCAGCGCTGCGGTACTTAAAGGAGCTATGATAACAAGCCCATATTGTGTGAACAGATGTTTCTCTTATCTCCCTTTTTACCCAGACACTTGTTTCTCAGGCCTGCGTAGTGGTGGAGGCATTGTCAGAGTAGACTTTCTTGTTTTGGATTTAGTTTCTGGCTCTCAGGCTGGTTCATAAACTGCTCAAAGTGATCTGAGGAAACAAAAGTTTTCCACTGGACAAGAATCCAATTACTTAAAATTCCTTTCTGTTTTCATAAAGCTTATCATTATAGCTTAATTGTTGTATTAACCCCTTAATTGCTAATCATTATGTGTTTCTGCCAAACTTACTACTACATAATGCAAAACATTGAAAAGTCTCTGGAACATAGTAAGCCTAAATATATTTCACTTGCTAGCAAGTCGGTCTTGCTCCTGGTTGTCATTCTAGAGGGATTTCCCATTATAAGGAAAATAAATATACTAACAATATTTTACCTTAATGCCAAGTAGCAGAAGCAGAATTCCAAATTATCTGAACATGCTTTCTGCAGTCCAAACCTAAACTGTTACACAGTCTCCAGGGATATTTAAAAAAAAACTAGATAGAAGTTTAGAAGGATTCTTTGTTCAGTCAGTGCAGGAAATCAGCTGCAACTTTCTATCAGCTCCCATAGTTCTTTCCTTAATATCCTCACCTACTTTGCACCTTCCACACAACACACATTTACACATATATCATACCACACAGGGGGTGTGAGCTTATTGAAGGGACCTTAGCCTGGAACTGCAGAGGGAAAGTTGTTCCTGTCATGATCCCTAAAATGATTTAAATAATCATTTTCACGGTGGTGTGTCTGACAGGAGGGAGTCAGGTTAAGAGAAGAGTCAAAGAGAAATGACAATAATTTTACATAAAAAGGAGCATCATGAATTTGTATAAACAAAACCTTAATATCAAAATGGTTTTAATCTACTGAGGTAAATTATATCTAAGCCAATACAAAAAGGAGCCTGGAGGACAATTTCACCACACCAATTTCTCTGTATCTAGCACCAGGATAATTCCTGGAATGTATCTTAAGCACCCCCAAACTACGCCAGTAGAGGGGATGCTGTTTACACTGGTGGATTGATTCAGTGACTGGGATAATCGGGATGGGAGTGTCAGAGATAGTGCGATTGGCACAGAACAGGGTGGAGTTTAGGGCTGTTGTACATAGGGTCGCTATGGGTCGCAGGCGACTCTATGGCACATATAACAACAAGAACGTGAGAAATGCCTCTGGAGCTGAGTGACTACAAACGATAATATAGCCTATACTTAGTGTTGGCTGAATGAGTACCTCCATAGTAGGTAACCATGTACAGATATTCATCCACAGTCCTGCCTGCCCCCACTTCACACATACACTATTAACTATAGAGAGTAGAAAAAGAAGAGGTTTTTAAAATAGCCCAAAATCTAACCTGGCACTTAGTAGATTGTAGTTCTGAAAAGTTGCCAATCAATTTCTTCAACTGTAAAATGGGAGTAACTAGGTTTCACAGGAAGTTGTAAATACTAAAAGCAATTCCATCTGAATGCATCAGAAATACATTGCGTGTACTAGAAATTTAAATATACATGTACCTTCCCTTGTTGCAGAGTGTTCAGAAAGTTTCATAACAAACTTTGAATCTGTATGAAAAGGCAGAGAGAAGTCAGGCTGCTCTTACAGCAAAATCAAACTTTAAGATGTATATTCCTTCTAGATACAATGACAGTTTGCCTTTGGGCTATCTCTTATCTGGAATTCTTCACTGCTTTTCTCCAGTGTGTGTGTGTGTGCGCGCGCGCATGTGCACTTATTTGCAAAAGTGACACAAAACTAAATAATTATCAGCGTTTCTCCGAGAAAGTAGTAGAAGAACCAAATTTCAACTTAAATCATGGAGGGAAGCTTAGCTAACAATGTGACAAAGTGGCAATAGAGGTTACATGAAGCCAGGCTGTGAGGAAAACTATTGAAGAGAAATAGGAAAATTATGAGTAATTATTGTTATGACCTAATTCCTGGGACTTCTCCGTAATTTGTGAATGGAAAATGTGTTCTATTTCTCTTTTTATCCAGGATCAATGGTTGTTTATATGCTGCCCATGATCTGTCATTGTGAGCTAATAAACACTGGGACAAAAAAACATAGTGCTTAGTGCTTATAATTTTGATGAGTTTTCTCCAGAAGAACTTCTAAATGAATATCTGACTAGCCAAACTCCAGTATGTTCTGAAGAGATTTAGTGTGAATGGTGGTCACTTCAATTTTCCCGAAGTTTCATAGTCTTTCAAAGTAGATAAAACACTGAACGCATAAACAAAACTGAATCTTATCAGCTGGACAGGTTTCTTCTCAACTGCCTGATACCAAACATTTCAGTCCATCTTTCCGCATTGATCTCTCTCCTATCTACAGCATTGAGTCATTAATATAAAATGAGATAATGTGTGAAAATTGGTAGCAGTAGGCATGGCATGTAGACATGATCCATAGGGGAAATAGTTTGTCATTTTGTTCTAATACAGTATTTACCTTTATTCAGAGGGGCAACCATTTAAATGCTTCTGCCAGTGCAGACACGTTTGAAGCCCGCAATGGTTTACTGTGAGGTCCTGGAAGACAGAGGCCAAGTCTTCCATTCTTTATTTCTCATTTTCTCACATGCACTTGCTCCTCAGAATAAACCAACCAGGCTGAAATTACTTCCACATTGTACAGATGAGAAAGTGAAACAGATAAAGGTGAATGTCCTTGTCTCATGATTAATAACAAAAGATGATTGAGCCAGAATTTGAACTCTGTCCTGTAAAATTGTGTAGGTCGCTGTAACCTGCACAGAATTCTCTTTATGCATGGCCTATCTCCTGCACAGATCTGGGGTTAACTCCAAGCCACACTGAAGGCCTTCCTCATCATTGTCTTGACACACAGCCCAGATTCACCACCAAGTGAGCACCTGGTAAATGTATGTTGAATAGAGTCTCCACATGAACATATTGGAAAAACTAGAAGCCTCTGCCTCTTCTAGTTCTCCTAAATTCATCACTGCCTTTTGAAGACTGAAATAAAGGATGTTTTCAGGCCACTCTAGCTTGAGGTATTCACAGAACCAGAAGCAAAACTGTAGAACTAGCACCATCCAAACAGTTTGCTAAGTGCTCGCTGACTCTTCAGAGGAATTTCTCAAGATCATTAAAATGAACAATAACAGGGTTTGATATTCTAATTGAGATCAGAAATTGGACAGCTTTGGACCTGGCCAGAGAACTGTGAAGCTCTGAAAACAAATGCTTGTCTTTCTTCTCTGCCTCTCCTCACTCCCGCCTCTTATAAGAGGCTTTCAGCACCAGTTCCAAGGCTCCTTAGCAACAAAGGCAGGGTTCCCAGAGCAGAAGCACCTAAGGAATGCCAGCCATTCCCCTCATTAGCATCCAGGGGCACTGCGCAAAAGGCAAAGTGTCTTGGGGAGGCCCAGCATTTAGCATGACTTTTTTTGGGAAAGGGGAAGCCTCCACAAAGAGTTTCCAAACAAAAGTCACCAATATTATTTGTGAAGCCATCAGACAGCCTGGGGCACAATATGGCTCTGACTCAGCCGAATGCTTCCTTCCTCGTCCATATGAAGACTTGATGAGTCCTCACCAGATACATCTTGGTCCTAAATGCCAGTATGTTGGTTGTTCTCCCTCATCTTTTCTCTCTTCACCCTATTCTCCCCTCAGACTATAGTGCATAGTTTACCTGGATAAACTGAGCTGTAGTTTATCCAGGTAGAACAATGAGTTGGCTTCAAGTGACACTAGAGGGGCTGCCCAGAAAAAGGGGCTGACAAAGGGTAAATGGTCAGATGGTAGGACAATCATGAACAGATGGTGCTGCTGAGAATGGATTCCAGACGAATTCACAAGCAGATTGTGCTCTGACAAAGGCCTACTGAGAGTTATCTGATGCAGAGCAATTGGTGCTTTGTACCAAGCTCTTGCTAACACACACACCCCACTTTCCCACACCATCTTTTGTAGTTATGTCTTAGAGTTACACTTATTCAGATTCTGTTTCACCACAATTCCAAAATACTGACCAATAAGCCTATTTCTAGAGGATCAAGCAACAGAACTATTTACTCAAAATACTGGCAGAACCAATTTGGAAACATTTCCTTCTGACTCCTTGTGCATGAACACTTTCAAAGATGGAGATCTCATGACTTGTCTTTTCCAACTTGTTTTTATAAATCTCTTATAGGCCCCTTTTCTTTCCTTCTTTGGGACCAAGAGAATGACAAATTTGATTAATCACTACAACAATAACTGCCCTAACATTGCACGTGGTCTGTACAGTCATTAGTGTTACAAAGAATGAAACCTCGTTTTTCTCCTCCAGAGTTGATTAGACTCCATGGTAGAAAGTTAAAGAAGAGTTGGAGAAGACATGGGTGCACAGAGGGGATTATTGGTTAGATTTTTTCCTAGGTGAGTGGGAATGCAGAGAACCTTTCCAAGAAAGAGAAGAGCATGTGCCAGCTCCATCCAATCTCTTTTCCATTGACAGGATTTTTTGTTGTTTTTTCTCCAATATATCCTAGATTGTATGTGTCCTTCTTTTACTTTCCATATGCCAGCATTGGGGATCCCTCCCACATCACTGGAGTATGGAGCACAGAATCCAAGAAAGAGCCGCGCCAGGCGAGCAGGATTTTTATCTGTTGCATAATACTGGAAGTTGAAACCTTCTATTCAATATATCTCCTCCCGTGTGATTTATTTACAGCCCTTGAAACCCCACTGGAGGGTCAGCTATGAGCCATTCTGAGTAGACAATAATGAGTAAGTTATTCTGTATGAGGAATATCTGTGGGCATAGTCCATAGATATTTGCATGGCTAAGCCAACAATGGTGGTTAAAATGGTGATTGAAATTTACCAGCTCCAACTTCTAAAGAAAGATGAACAATCTCTTCCTAAGTAATTTAGAATTTCTTAAGGAACTGCTCAAGGGTCAACCATGA